TTTGGGTAAACTTTTATACTCAATGATGATGGTAGAGTTGCTGGATGGATGAAGAACTTGTTAGTTTAGAATTCATTGTGATATGTTCTTCATCATTTAGACGTCAGTTCAGTGTCACAAAAAATGGAGTATATTGCCCATGGTGTTCATTGCTTGTAAATCTCAATGTATGTCATGTTTTGTACAGCATTCAAACCATTTGTATCTTATTTTCATTAGTCTTAGTTTTGTTTTCTTCCTCTTTTATTCATTTTCGATGATCAAACATGGGGTCACCCCTAGCAAATATGGTCCGTTTTGACCTGTTACATATCGCCATTAACCTTATGGTTTTAAAACGCGTCTGTTAGAGAGAGATTTTCACACCTTTATAAGAAATGCTTCGTTTCCCTCTCCAACTGAGGACGGTGGCTCTCGATGGGAGTGGATTGTGAGATCCCACATCAGTTAGATAGGGGAACGAAGCATTTCTTATAAGAGTGTGCAAACCTCCCTCTTGCACACACACGTTTTAAAACTGTGAGATGAGCGATAATATGTAACGGACCAAAACAGACAATATTGGCTAGTGATAGGCTTGAGCTATTACATCTTGTATTTATGGACATCATAGGAAGAAGAATGGTCTTTGGCATTCACATCGTTCAATCCATTCACCTCCAAAAAGAAACGAGAAACAAAAAAACCTTGTCGAGGACTGAAGGACATTGCCATACAACTATTGGAACTTATGCCCTATAATTCAGGGACTAAAGGACATTGTCATACTAAGATGTTCAATCTATGAATGTTACGAGTTATGGAAGTTAGTATGTAAGACGGTGATTATATGAGCTTTTGATGTGTCGTTTTCAACTTGATCTCAATACTAAATGTGTCGTGACCTTTTGTTAGGGCAAGTGCGTTTTATTTTTAATTCAACAATATACGCGGTGGAAGATTTAAATCAATTTTTGATTGAAGTGATTATATCTTAACCAATTAAGCAATTTACAGGTTGCCCGTTAATTAACGAACCTATTTGAGCTATAGACAGTTTTGCCACTGGGCCGAAATAATAAATTTTTTTTTTTCCAATTTATTAAATCTTCACCCTTAGTTGATTTTTTTTTTTAATAAATAAAACCAATTTAACTTCTAGAAAAAACTAAAAAAAAAAAATTAGAAGATTATGAAATCGCTAAATTATATATTTAATAAAAGAGGGTATGAATTCATATAAAAGTAAATCACAACTTAACATCGTGAACGATAAAGAATACTATTAACCAGAAGCCTTTCGAAAGTACTTCACGATAAAGAAAACTATTAACCAGAAGCCTTTTTTGAGAGTACTTTCACCCATCAAGAAAAGAGTATCAAAGTATCCTCAGCTAATTCAACATAGTAGCACAATTGATACGAAGCTAGAGATTCCAACTATAATGAATGCACCGTAATTACGAGTATGATGCTAGAAATAGATCAATCGTAATCTTAATAAGAAATAGATAACACATCTTTGAGAGCGACTGAAGTTCAAACTTAAAAAACATTATTTCGCTCTTTCTACTACTTTGAACATCACTTCTAAACCATTGTCAAACATAGCTAAAATCACCTTCGAACATGTTTCACCGGCCTACTGGTCTCCGTTCGTTCAGAATTAAAATTTCAAGTTGCATGTTAGGTAGAACTCTAATGTCATTGGCATTATGTTTTCAGTACTCCTTTCTAAACCAAGTTGACTAAAATTTTAACTCATGCCGGCTGCCGACACCGGGCTTGAGCCAAACCCCACAACAACCAAACAGCATAAAACAGTATGAATTGAAAATTGAAAGGACAAGACAGATCAAACAAAGAGGAGACAGTGTCGGCAACGCACATTTCGACCAAGAAACCAAATTGTTTCACAGCAATATAGATATATTACATACCAACAAATTCATTGACATCTCAGAAACACAGGAATTCTAGGAGTATAAATATGACAAAAAGAGAGAAGACAATACGAATTATTCAATCCAAACATACTGATTGTTCATCTAATTTACTGCACACTTTAAATAATTGTATAAGGATGTCTTGGTTCTTACTTGGGCTAATGGTGATTCTGAATGCTTACAAACCATTGAGATGGATGAATCTCAAGACGATGTAGCTGGGGCGACGTAAGTTGGATTAAACGCAGCCTGCTCGGCACATGTAAGTGAATCGTGAACTCCGGACTCATCACGACTAAGACCCATCAGATCAAGGTAGTATTGGTAATGAGAAATAATGTTGTTCATCGAGTCAATATCGCCCTGCCCACAGATGGAATCGCCATAGAGAATATTCATCGTTGCTCCAAAACCAGGAACCCTTTTGGACAAGGTGTCGTTCTTGGTGGGCTTCCAATTGCCAACAAAGACATCATGGGGTGAAGGCTGTGACTTCTTCACTGGGTTCATCCACATCCACATTGCAGTTTGGAATGCAATGGTAGCATTCTGCTCAACATATTCAGGATGGTTCAACAGATCAAGCTTCAACGCATCGCCAATCTTGCCATAATTGTAATTCCTAGGACGACGAACAACAATGAGAACTCTGATAAACGTTCGTTGAACACTCTACATCGATGATACATCAAATTCCAGATAAAGATGCCAGCAAGCAAAGATTCTAAACAAGAACTTATCAGATTAGCTCTTAATCTGAGAACTTATCCAAGAACTTAATCTAAATCAATGTTAATCTAAACGTGGATACTTCTTTATCCAAGAACTTATCAGATTAGCTCTTATTCTAAACGTACAATACAAGAAGGCATTAAGCATTTTTTCAGCATGATATGTTAGATTAGAGACCTGCAAGTGTCAATTTATGGAACAAGGAACACAGCTATAAATCAATGTTGAAACCCATTTTACTTGACAAAAGAAATGGGGATAGAAAACTTCAAACCAGAAAATGGGGATAGCACCACGGCCATAATATTGAGCACCAGGAGCACAAGGATAAGTGAGCTTGAAGTAGTCATTGCAATAGTCCTGGCTTGGACTCATCTCCCTGTTGAAACAGAGTCCCCAAGCAAGCGGCCCTCCTGTGACCACTCCATCACCACCTACAACCACCAGCATTTCACTCACAATCCACAGTCAATCAGTAAAGAAACTTCTCAAGAAAAGTGTTCTTCACTTACAAGAGGTCCTTGAGCCGACATGGCCCAAGAAAGCAGCAATCTCTCTCATCTGCATCTTCTTATCTCCAGTGGTTCCAAATCCGAGCGGCTCGAACTGGGCGGCGGCGAGAATGAAGGAATGGAAGTCCCAGAAACCGACGGCATGGGCCACCGGCGAATTACGCTTAGCGAAGAGATTCTCGAATTGATAGGTCTCGAAATAGTCGGTAATGGTCAAATTGCAACAATAAGTGGACCAAGTGCACTCCCAGCCTCTATCACAAAGCCTCTTCCCCTTCACAGTCTTAACCTTCGGCTTAATCGGGGGCTCATCCCCACTCACAACCGACGCCATTACAATCAGCGCCAGTATCACCAGAAGCGAGCGATTCCAAGCCATTATCACCTCTCCCACTGCAAAACCAGATAGAATAAACATGAATTTTAAGCAGATTTCCATGAGAAGAGAATGAGCTTTCTTCTTACCTCAAATGGCGGCGATTGGGCAGATCTGAGGAGGATGTTGCCTTAAACTTGCGTGTGCTGATGTAAAAGAAGAAGAAGAAGGAAGGGGAGGAGAATGAGAAGAAAAATGAAGAATCGTTAAAAGGAGGGGTTAGATCGGGCGTCTCTTTCAGCTCGTAGACGCCATTGATTGAAGCCATTTGAGCTCTGGAAGAAGTTACAGAGAGAGTGGGGAATGTGGACCGTCCGATTGAAAATTGATCGTAAGAATTTCCAGGCTGGAGAGGGGACCCATTGAAATGCCGCACCGACACTTAAAAATCATTCAATAAAATTTAATTAAAGAATTAACATTTAATTTCTGTTTAAAAAATATATTTTATTAATATCTGTAAACTTATTTTTTTTAAAAAAATTGTTTGTTTTTTTTACAAAAATAGTTTTAATTCTTTATTTCAAACATATGCGTAAATTTATTAAAATTTAATTGATATTCTTAAAACTCAAATAAAATTAAAAAAATCATCATTTGGACATCTAAATCATACAAGTAAAAAGAGATTTATTTGATGATAAAATAGAATCCCGAGTGATTCGATTGATGATAAAGATCATTTATCAAAAAATGACTCTGGCAATCAAATGATCCTCCTTACCTAAGGTTATATCCTGTGAGACGACGTTATTTCTCTCTTTTTTGTTTATATAACGTCTCTTTAAAAAACCACTCTCTGCCCTCATTTTAACCTTCTCTTAAAACCGAAGATAGAGACTCGAGCATACATCGCTTGGCTGTAGGCGATGCAAGAACGAATTGGCTTAGCTCACTAGTCGTTGAAAAGTGAGTGCCTCACAATCGTAAATCCATGGCCATCAAAAATGCAATTGTGACAAGTGATATCAATAATCTGGCTATCAAATGATCCATATAACCAAGATTATTATACGGTTGAATTTTCAAAAATTATATTTTAAAAAAATTATTCCCGTGTCGAAACTCGTTTATTCATACCATATTACATCACATTTATCCTTTTTTTGTTGCTTTTTTCTTCGATATTTTCTTAATCTCCTTATTTCATAAGAAATTTTGACATATAAACAATTGAAAACAACTCATAAAAGTACCCTTACCTTTTTTTCGTATCTATACTCTATTTTTTTTCTTCTCAACAACTAAATAATATGAAAAACTTCAAATTAAAAATAATCGACAAAGAAATATCATAATCAAATCGTGTAGAACCTTATGAACAGACAACAATAAATATATTAATTTGAACGTAAGAAAAACGACCAACAAAATGATACAACAAACATACTAATTATAACCATTACATTTGATTTGTAATGATAAAACTCTTCAAAAGTTCATAATAAATAAAAATATCAAAAGACGAGTAATTTTCAAAATTGGCATTAAATTGCTCATCTCTTAGTCTCAGTCCACAGGTGGGAAATAAAATTAATTGATGAAGAAAATTTAGGAATGTGCTGAATAATTAATTAACTAAGGAAAAACTGAGAATTCAACGCAAGGAAAGAACTCCACTACGTTTCTTCTACCACAACCACCCTACTACTCCCCCCTTCCCAATCTACTCTCCTACTGTCAAACCAAATCCAAATTTGTAGTCTTTCTTCCTGTGATCAATCTGCATTACACAACATTCAGATTCAGATTCAGCCAAGTGAACGAGAAGAGTTTAAAACGTGCCCGATTTTTCCAAAATAAACTTGTTTTCTCGAGGATCTTTTCTTTCTTTTCTACTTCTAAAGAACGTTTTCGAGGTTCAAGTCAAATTGGTCGAGTGTTTGAGTCAGCTTGCACGCACCTCAATTATACTCGCAAGACGATTGTCCGACGCTTAACACATTTACAAAGAAACTCATAGGATATTAAATCATAAATTTTAGATAGGTGGCAAATATGGCTAGAAACCTATTTACATGACTCTAATTACCATGGCTGGAACTCCTACCTTCTAAATCCTTTATTATTTATACGACCCTTGTAACCATGGCTCGAACTCATTCAGTCTAAGCCTTATTATTATTGACCATTAGACCAAGCTAAGGTGGTTGAGACAAGAACCATTTTTATGAATAGAAAACCTTACAAGCACAACTTAGCTACTTGAAGAAACTCCAGCAGTCGTGTTAAAGTAATGGAAAGAAAACTATATAACTTGGTACCTCTGCGGAAAGGATGAAATTAACCCCCATATTTAGCCGCTCTTCAAGGAAAGCAGCTACACAACCATTGGAATCAATCTTCCCTCTAAGACGGCACTGCCACAGCCATAATAAATACACATCTTCAGTGATATGAATGTCTATCAAACTAGAACTATTCGATATTCTGTTAGCCAGATCAGAAGTTATCAATATAATTGTTGGTGGAATTAACCAAAATTGCTTATTACTAATCACCAGTTGAAACTAAAAATTGACACATTATTGATTATATAATACTATGGCATAGAGAGCAAATAAAACGCAGCAAAAGGGAACAATTCAGTATTCAACATAAACGCTCCAGACTAGTCTATAGGAATGAGGCCAGAGATTTCAGCTAAAGATCTAAACCATTGTTGTGTGGATACCTTACATTTGATTGGAGAATTTGAATGAAAAGAAAAGGACCAATCTTCAACGGGAAGGTAAGGGATTGTGGAGAAGTCTTCAAGTTGGCTAAGTTTCATTCACTTCATGGTGTTCTCTTCCTAAAAAATTTTCTTATTAAACTCTTATTGTTATCATTCTATTCATAAACTGGTTCGGTTTGATTAGTGACGGTCTTGTTTATATCTGTGGTTTGAGATTTCCGAGGCTTTTTTGTTCCGCTACTCAATGCTAACCTTCAAGTATATAATAACAAGTGTGTTTCCTTTCTTAAGAAAAAATTGAAATATACCACCAAGGACGTCTGCACGTCCTACACTAACATTTTGTGTATATGACCCTCATTTATCCCATAATTGCTTACAATTACCTTATGCTACGACTCGTTTACCTCTCTCGGAAGTATGTACACCCATTTTGATTGAAAGAGCTTTATTCTTTTTCCTTCGGGTTCTGATTCCCAGCCGTCACCCCAGTTCAAAGTTTCAGAAACAGTATGCCCGTCTTCCTTTCATTTCCTTCCCAAAAGAAAGTTCTCATATTTTCTCTGAACAGTTGATAGAACTGCATTACTTAGTGTAAAATGACCCCTATCGATTAGACAAAGGTTCCTCCATTTTCCGAGCCTACTCAAAATCATATTCTTGAGCAGCAAGGGTCAGCAGCAAGATTGGTGAATGATATTACGGTTTTTTTTGCCAAAAATCAGTTCTTCTAGCAAGCAGCATCACCAAATAACTCAGAAAGATTTTTAATTTCACTGCAAATTTTTTACCACATTCACTATTTTAATTCTCTTCTGGATTAGCTTTACATATCTTCAACCATTTTATCATTCTCACGATAATACTTTATCATCTGCAAAGTGTAAATAAGCCTAATGATTACCAACACAAAATACGTCAATCCCCTCCAATCATTTTCTCCTTCATGAATTAAACAGTACAATAGGAAGTGAATTGTGGATAACATATATTCCATATTATAAAGCATTCATAAAACAAAAGCTACCTGTCGAAGAATGTAGTCGTAGCCAAGACTAGATATTACATCTCTTGACATGTAGTTATACGTGAAATCAGTTGCCAAAGAAACCTAAAATAAGAATAAAAATATATAAGCTATTATGAAAACAAATTATAATGTTTGATGGTTCTAACTCTTTTTACATCCTAATTTTTTCTGGCTTTCTAGGAGGTTACTTTGCCCATTTCTATGGGTTAATAATATCCTGTTACTTATGAATGTTTGTTGTTTCTAGTCAGCAGAAATGTCCTGACACAATTTACTTACCTTCTCAGACACTTTTTGAACGTAACTTAGAGCTACCATACCCGTGCTGGCAACTTGTCCAGTGGCAACCTGCAAATTGGAAAAGTGAACCAGACTAAGGGTCATCCAAGTCAAATATGTATGCTACTTAGAATCAGCAGTTACAGTTACATTAAAACAAAAAAAAAAAAAAAAAAAAAAAAAAAAAAAAAAAAAAAAAAAAAAAAAAAAAAAAAAAAAAAAAAAAAAAAAAAAA